GACTTGAAGCCGGAGAACATTCTGCTCGACGCCAACGGTCATATTGCGCTATGTGACTTTGGCCTTTCGAAAGCCAACCTCACGCAGAATGCAACCACCAACACTTTCTGTGGCACCACCGAGTACCTCGCTCCTGAGGTTCTCCTCGATGAGTCTGGATACACCAAGATGGTAGATTTCTGGTCGCTGGGAGTCCTCGTGTTCGAGATGTGCTGCGGCTGGAGTCCGTTCTATGCTGAAGACACGCAGCAAATGTACAAGAACATCGCCTTCGGCAAAGTGCGCTTCCCTAGAGATACGCTCTCTCAAGAAGGCCGCAACTTTGTCAAGGGGCTTCTGAACCGGAACCCGAAGCACCGACTGGGTGCCACCCTCGATGCCGAGGAGTTGAAGAGGCATCCATTCTTTGCCGACATTGACTGGGATATCCTGGCGAAGAAGTTGATCACGCCGCCGTTTAAGCCTAAGCTGACTTCAGCAACGGATGTTTCGTACTTTGACCCCGAGTTCACAAACGCTCTGGACAACAGTGGTTCTCTGAACGAAAGAGCGGCCGCCTTGGCCCGAGGATTTGCTACATCCACTCCTCTTTCACCTTCAGTGCAGGCCAATTTCCAGGGCTTTACCTTTGTGGATGAGAGTCATCTGGACGATCAGATGCGGGGAAACCGTTACGATGATGAGGAAATGGGTGACGCACACGGATCCCACAGAGGACAAGAAGACGACGACTGGGACGACCTCGGCGATGTGGCTACCCAGAGGGGCAACCGCATGAGCGGCATTGAGCGTTCGGGCAAGCGCGATGATGGCAAGGACTCCCACGACGACCAGATGATTGGTAACTCTCAATTTGACGACTAAAAAACTTTTGCGCAACAACTGTGCTGCAGAGGAGAAGCGCTTGCGTGGGGACCTGGAGGTGGAGCGGAAAACCAAAAGAAAACATACTTTCTTTCACTCGAGAGAGTCGATATTGAACCACGACGGATTTGTTGCATACGGGGCGGTTGATTTTGCATGCGACCTGACGAAGGCAGGAACAGGCGTTTGGGCAAATCGTGAGCGTTCGCCAGTATTCTTTACTGGAGTTCTTACAGCTGGGTATGTTGCTCGCAAGGGATGCTCCCGTTCATCCTGTGTTCCTGGCAATAAGTCTCACTCGCTCACTACATGGGTAGTTAGTGCGGCGGAGTGCGGCCATAAGCAATATTGGCAAATGATAATCTTGAGCGGGTGACCGCGCCGGGCAGTCAAACGAGGGTTTTGTTAGTGACGAGACTGTCCAGATTCTGACGGGGACACAAAGTGTGCAGATAGCTGGCGGAACGGTATTTTCAGCAGAGTTCACTACATTCCACATTGGTTCTCCTTGTGTCGTCCAGTATTTCTGAGATGTCTGAAGATGCCTGCCAAGGTGAGTGTGTGAAAGCTTGGCGACATGTCAACAGGTTGGAGGTGAGCAATTGTCTCGGACACAATCATGTGGCCATGCCCTTATTGATGATGCCTGGTCTACGGCCTCCTGTTGAAGAGTAGCACAGTGCTGCGTAGCCGTTTCCCATGCATACGTGTATGCCTTGGCAATAGTGTTATGGTGGCCACGTGAAGCCATGTTAGTCAAGTTGGCCTCCATAAGTTATTGTTGACCAGGCAATACCTACACGGCCAAGTTGCTAGGCAGCTTCTCGCTTTGCAGACCTGTGCTTCTTGGTCCTGACGAGCACCGCAAAAGCAGGCAACAACAGACATGGGCCCCAGCAAAGTCACCGCGACGGCAATGCAGCGTCGGAAAGAGAAACCCCCAAGGGATCGCTTGCACGGATTTCGCATTCCAAACCAGCGGAGAGGTTCGGTCAAGGGAAAGAAATATACACGGGGGAAAAACCAATCCGGGGGGGGGGGGGGTCGACGAAGCGATGTGCAGCTCTCTCTCGCTCGCCGGGTTTCCCCCCCCCCCCATCTGGCTCCCCACATCCTCTCTTCGCCGTCGCAGTTCTCTTCTCTCACCTAGGCCTCCCAGCGCCCACACTGTCCCGCATCCTCTCTCATGCGTCATTACCAAGCCCCCTCCCAGTCCTCACTCTCTAGGTGTTCCGGCTCCTAGGGCGAACCGGAGAGCCGTAGAGGCAGTAGTGGTGGTAGTAGTAGTAGTAAGGAGAGCCGTCCTCCTCCAGCACGAATCCTTCACATCAACCGGCCCGACCGATAACACACAAACACGTCGATTGTTGTTGTAGGTGGTTGTTTAGTGGGCGGCGGCGGCGGGCTCGTCCTCGTCAACGAGCCAGGAGCTCTGCTTGGCGGCGGGGGTGGCGGCGTCGGCGACCTCCTGGCCCTCGACCTCGACGGCCATGGACTCGTACTCCTGGAGGGAGGAGGCGAGGTCGGCCTCCTCGGGGGAGGCGGGGGTCTTGGGGAGGTTGAAGGTCTGGACCTGGCCCTGGGCGTCCGACTCCTTGACGACGGGGGTCTTGTAGGCCTTGAGCTCCTTGAGGTAGAGCTCCTGGACAAAGTCGGCTGGGGGGCGCTCGGCGTTAGCTGGGTTCGGAACAGATGTACGGGGGTATGGGTGAAGCATCGACAGGATGGATGGGTTGAGGAACATGGAAGGAAAGAATCGGAAGGAGAATGACGACAATTGAAATGGGGGGGGAGAAGAACAAGGCAATCTGATGCATCGAGAGAATGAGTCCGGTGCCAACCGTGCTGGCTGCGGCCGAAAAGCTCGATTCGTCTCTGCGTCATCGATGTAGCACCGTGCCTCTCTGTCGTTCTCTTCCCCACGCCAGTCATTCGCCCCAATCAATTCCAGTCCAGCCGCACTCAATCCATCAAATGGTATTGTCGTCGGGAAAGGGATGGGTACGCACCACGTCGGGAAACGGTCGGGGCAATGAAGCTCCTCATCTGGACGGCGTTCGACCTGGCAGCCGCGCGGGTGACGGCCGGGATGGCGCGCTGTTCAACACGAGTTAGCCGTTCTGTCCTCGCTGTGTGTCTCTTTCTCCCGTGCTGTGCCTCGGACGGCCAGGCCAGAGCCATCGCGCCGGGCGGCCTCGGCGGAGAAAACCGGAAATGGCGGACGAGCCGGGGAATTGGACGTACGGTGGCTCTGGAAAGTTGGACGAGCATCTTGAAGGGCGTGGCGTGCTCAATTGGGGGGACGGGGGTGATGCACGAAGAGGGTGGGCGTCTCGGGTCGTTGAGAGGTTTTGGGGTCGTTGACGATAAAAAGCTGGAGCCGGGTCGGCTAGATGACCCAGTCTCTTCTTTGCTGGCGGTGGTCGGGGGAGGAGAAGGGACAGAAGCAGGTTTCTGCCTGAGGTTTGCGTGCGTGTGTGTGGTCGGGTTCTTGATTTTACCACCACCCATAGCGTAGGACTAATCGGGTTAGCGTACTTGCCGCTCTTGCCGCGCTGGCTCAGGCTTGACGCAGTCCAATGAGTGTGCAGAAGGGGTCACGTAACATAAGGTACCTAGGTAACTCAACGCGAAGCTCTTCAACAGTCAAGCCATGAGCTTTCCTCTCTGCCTTCGGCTGGCAATTGCACACTCATGCAATGTCTGTCATCACTTCGTCAAACTATTCCCGTTCCTCACGCTAGCCATCTCTCGTTCTTTCTTACGTCGACAGATTTTGGTCGTTGCCTGGTCTGGCCTGGCGGTATTCGGCAACATTCGCGTAGCAGCCTTCTCGCAATATCACCAAACCCCCGGTTCATACTCCAGTCCAGAGACGGCCTCGCTTGGGAAAAGAGCGATGATGCTTTTGACATGTGGGACTCGAATATCCATAACAAGGCTATGTACCATGCCATGACCGCCTTTATCTTGAAATACAGGTCGGGCGAGGTGGAAGAGCCGCACAAGCCCATTATTGGGGGCTGCAATATTTTTTATCGTCGGAAATACAAGGATGGCTCGTCGGTGGCCCTCAAGGTCCCATATCAGGGTAGGTGAACATGTCTCTAGTGGGGACAGGAATCGGGGGTGCCAAAACACCGGCACAGCGAATGCGGGAAAGCTGGGAGGCAAATTATTGGACGGTTAATTTGGCGTTCCGGAGGAGGTGGTCGTTTGATGCACTCTTCTGGTATATTGATCCAGCCTACTTCGGACCTAATGAGGATGGGGACTGTAAGGCGAGGCTGGGTCTCCGGCCCATAGATGAAGCAAAGGCGATTGAATTCTTCGTTAGAACCGAGATGGAGGAGGCGAAACAGCGTGTTCTTGTAGGGTGGGAGAAGGAGAAGGCAGTGATGCATAAAGCTAAGGTACCCGTCTAGTATAGCAATGTAATCGCAGATCTTATCGATCGCGCTCAGCGGTCGAGGCTGCCTTGCTCGACATCCACGCAAGGCTTCTGGGAACAACTGGATGAACCAGCACGACCGTTCCGGTAATGTTATTTTTGGGGTACTAACTTCAAAAACAGTGCATGGAGTATTTTTACTTGACATGCCCTATTAGGAAACCAGACCGAAGTGTTCACTATGGCCATCACTGTATCCTCAACTTCAATCCTCCGGCCTCGATCTCGGCCCCCTGGAAACCCTGCTTATGGACGTTAAACCGCAAGGTGGCTCGCGAAGACAGAAGACACTAGCAACGGTTTACGATAGGGCTTCTCTCAGGGCCAAACAAAGTGGATTCAAATTCAGGCTTATGTTTCCAGCAACCTGGTGTGACTTTGCAGCGAGAGTGGACCAACCCAAGCCTGCTGTCCGAGGTTTAGGAATGATCCTAATCTCACTTTTGGGCATGCTTTCCAACACGTTCTGGTCGTCATTGACGGCGAGCCAATAATACATATCCTCAGGAAGGCAACGTCGCAAGGATAAGCTGTGTCTCAGGTCTAATCACTCCTGGCCGTACACGTTCGGGCACGTTCCTTTGCCGCAGGCCACGATTCGGATACAAAAAGGTGCTCTAATTCACCATGTCAAATTCGGCTAGCGATATAGCAATGCCGACTCCCTAAACGCCTCCCGTCACATAGGCCGTAGAGTTAGCCTCTCACAACCAGCCAAACCGAAACTTTGATATCCCGGCAAGGTGACCAATACAGAGCAGCAGGCTTGCCGTGGAATGATCTGGGCGCTCTCTGAACGAGTTGGTACAACCTGGCCATGTTGCACCCTCCTAGACTACTTGTGGCCGACTGTGCTGAGCCCGCCTCTGGAGACAGGCATGATAGCTTGTGAACCGGCGACCAGACTTCGGTAGTCTACGTAGTCGGTGCCTTTTCAGAGGTATATCTCATTCTGGCCATACAGGACCTATTAGGCTTCTAGCTAAGCTATAACTGAGCTCAGGTCCCGCCCAGTTCATACTTAAAGCAGCGAGGTTCTAGGGTGTATCTAGTTTAAGTGGGGCTTAGCATAACCCATTTCAGAGGTTCCGGGGGCGGTACGAGGTGGACGACTAGGTCACGTGTGCTCCGGGAATACCTAGGTACGGTCGGGTCAGAAACACAGCTGCACCTCAAGATTAGATGCAGCTAGAGAAAACCTGGGGATCGTCCAGGTTAGCAGCACCAAAACTCGGACGATGCATCATGGCGCGCTCGACCGGTTGGCAGTAGTCATGCCATCATCGAATATCGCGGCTGAGGGAGACGGTGGTTGGGGTTTGTGCTCCCATTGGACATTTCGATCCTGGCAAGCATCATCGAACAGACGAGGCGACGTCATTTTTTCAGGGACCTACTAGCTTGTCTCACTGCCCGCCTCTTTTGCTAGCTTCATCAAGTTCCGTTCGCCTCAGTATTGGGTTTTGAAGCACCGTTTTTTAATTTCTCCCGGCCATATTGGCGGAAAAGACATTGAAGGAAAAGACTATAACTTCATTTTGCACGCTTGACGCAAATATCTAGGACTATGAACGCCGCAACATCGAGGATGCGCTATCCCCGATCTAGGTCCCTGTTGACCGACCCTGTACGAAAAACCCACGGAGGCTCTATTGATGCTGGCCTATTCGGAAGGGTTCAAACAAATGAAAGAATGGAACCACAGAGAGTACGCTGTAGACGACGGACTACTTCATCTCGTGCGACTCGCGCACCGGCGAACCGCCGAGGCTGAGATCGTCCTTCCTGCGACCGCCCGTCCGCCTCGACTTGAGCCAGATGGCGAGCACATACAGCACCGCCATGATGCCAGCGACGACCGAGTAGGCGACGATCCACGTTGTCGAGGACGAGGCGAGTTGCATGCCGAGACCGCCGTTGATGATGCCGAGGAGCAGGACGATGCGGCCGAACCAAATGTGCGAGTGGCTGACAGCGCCGCGCATCTGGTGCTTCTTGTAGTGCATGTGGTGCACCAAGCCAAGGAAGGGCTGGGCAACCAGGAGCGCGCAGACGACGGTGCCGAGGATGGTGTGCGTCTGCTTGAAAAGCTGCAGAACATGTAAGTCTCACGGTGCTATAATTTTGCATGCCCACGATAAAAGGAAAGGGGTGGGGCAAACTTACGTATCCGTGGTCGTTGCCGTAGACGACGCCGAGACCGAAGCCCGCCCACATGAGCATGAAGGCGATAATCTGCCATCCGGCGTGGATGAGCCACTTGCCGAGCATGGGCATGAGGATGGAGCCGATGGGGTACATGGCGACGAAGACAATGGTCATGATGACGCCGTGCGCCAGGAGAACGTTGGGTCCGGCGAGGCCCGACGACGCCGGCGCTGTGATGCCGCCCGTGTTGCCGCCGGTGTTGCTGTTGCCCGTGTTGCCGCCGGTGGTTGGCGCTGCGGAGCCGGCAAAGGGGTTCGTGTCTTCGGCAACGGTCGCCTGTGTCAGGTCGAGGCCGAAGGACGTCTCGGAATCGTGCTGGCTAATGGGCGCGTTGAGGTTGGTCGAGGAGATGGCGGAGCCGCGGCGCCAAGCGGCGATCCAGTTCGAGCTGGACGAGCCGAGGGGCATGGAGCCGCCACTCCACGAGGCGCAGTTGGAGCAGCGGACGTTGGCGGTCATGACGCCGTTGCTGACGCCCGAGCCGGCGAGGAGCTCGAGCTGAGCGCCATTGGTCGTGACCTGGGGCATGACTTGGCCCGAGGCCCGGCGCGGGCTGATGGTCACGTTGCCGCTGCCGTCCTGGTACATGAGAAACATGTTCGAGTTGGACATGCGCGTGCCGGTGCCGAGGCCGATCCAGGCGTACGACTCTGGCGCTGAGATCTGGAAGTAGAGGTTGCCGGTGCCGGCTGATGCTGCCGTTTCGGGTACAGCGACCTGGAAGCAGACGCCGCTGTTGCCATTGGGACAGTTCCGGATGGGATCGGCGACGGCGCTCGTGTCTGCAAGATTGGTCAGTCTACGGCCAAGACGTTCGTGTTACGGATGACCAAGTCCTGTGCGAAAGACAAGACTTACACAAGGCGGCCGCTGCCAGGGAGGAGGTGATGAAGGACTTCATCTTGGTGAGAGGATTCGAGACGTAATTGGATGGTGTGTTCGGATCACTGGTCGCAGTTGGAGGTGGTGAGTGGGTGGATGGGAGTGGTGGTGTCGGCTCTGGAAAAATAGATGTTCGACCTTCTCGTGTGCTGTTCCGTTCTTATATCAACAGAGTATGAAGTCTGAATGAAGCGGAGGGTTATTCGGATATGCCAAGCCAAAAGTAAAAATGCCAAGGCCGCGTGAGGCTTAACTAGAAATCAAATCTCCAGGCAGCAACAATTGGGAAAACTGTAATAGAGCTAACGTCCAAGCCTGTTGACGTTGACGAGCAGATTCGCAGCGTCGTGTTCCTGACCGGGGGAGGGGATCCTGGTCCTTCTTTATCAACAATTGCACTGCACAGCCGCTGACGGGGGGGAGAGCTGGACGGAGGTGTGAGAAGCCAGGGGGTCGCATGTGGAGGGTGTAGTAGAGGAGGGAAGGGGGGGGGGTGGTAGGGGTGTAACGGTAAGGCCCGTCGTCCAGCGAGTCAAGGATGCAGGCTGACGGCTGACGGTAGCAACGGGGTATGCTTTGGGGGCTGCGGGCGGGCGTGGATGTACGTACATGTACGTTACGTACCCAAGTAGTGTAGCGTGTACCTTAGTTGCCCTTCTTATTTCTCTATGCTTGGCAGATCGTTTCGGGAGAGTGGCTGTACTTTCGTTTCGGCACGGGGGAGGAGAAAGGAAGAAGAAGTAAGTAAGGGTGAGCACAACGTGGGGGATTCCACCAGGGGCGCCGAGCCAAATTGAAGCCGCGGAATGATCTGTTTTGATAGATGAAGTAATGCCCCGAGCGAGGTGAGGCAGGGAGGAGGAACGTGGCAGATGGACACGGCTGTTCCGTTTTAAGATGAGGTCTGGTCCAGCGGTCAATCTCTTTGTTCTTGTCAGGCGCGCGCCATGCTCACTCACTCACTCACGACACCCAGACCACCCCTTGCCAGAGACAGCCAGCGACAAGGACACAGGACCCGGGCCCCAAAGGCCGTTGCTCTCTGTTGCTGCAAGCGCTTTCTCCCCCACCCGGAGGGAGGAGGGTTTGCGGCGGGCGTTTGTGTTTGACCGTCGTCCGAACAGCTCCCGGCGACACACACACATGTTGACGCGGCCTTTTTTCCCTCCGCCCACGCCCCGCCCCCCTCTGAAGAGCATACCTTAACTCCATACCGCATCAACCCCACCACATCACTGATGTGCTCGAGAGTTCCCGCAGATGAGCCGGCATGTCGTTTGGGCGTTGAGCAGGTTTGGCTTGGCGGGCAGTGTTTCGTGGGACGATCGGTCCGCGATGGCACATGATACGGAGGGGGGGGGGGGGGTGCCAAGGAGGCAAGCAGACGCATTTCTCTTGTCTCCTGCTGCGCTGGCTGGTACATGGGCTGGATCGAAAAACACCAAAGGCCATCGAAGCTCTTTCTCCAGATCCAGACAGGCAAGTGGTCCGGCGGCAGTCAACCGACACAGCCCCCAACCGTGGGTGTGTGTGTGTGTGGTGTGTGGTGTACAGTATGTTCGAGATGGGGTTGGGTAGCGTTCGGATCTGAGAGGGATTGGCATGGCGTCCCATGCCCAAGGTAACTTACCTGCCCTACTAAGGGGTGGGTACCTTACCTTGCTAAGGTACCTGTACGGGTCGGCCTACGAAGATGCTATGGGGGCCAGGCGCTGGGGAACGCCGGGGCGCGCTGGAAGACCGCTGGCGATTGGTATTCGGAGCGCTATGATTGGGCCCGCGAGACGCAGGCCCTCCCCTGATGGCGCACGACGAGGGAGGGAGGGGGTTTGCGTTGGTGCACCATCAGCCGCGTGCGTGCGTGGCCTCGACCCGACTTGGCCATGTCCCGGTACCGTGCTAACCTCAGTCAGGCCTCTTTTCCCTCGGTTCTGGGTCTCGACCTAGCCTTGGTCCCCGTTGTTTAGAGTTGGCAGAGGTGTTGGTCAACTTGGTTGTGGTGCCGACGGGACGCAGGGGCCCTGCGAGACGTGCCAGAGGACTGGCGGCCAGCTGTGTGTGGTGTACCATGTATGCCATTGCTGTGTAGTGGCTTGTCTCCCAAGTCATCCTCCCGAAAGGCCGAGGGTTAGTAGCCATGAGTCTTTGGAGTCTGCGGCAGAGATGAGGCAGGTCCCTCACTCCATCTGCTAAGTTCGATTGGAGGAGCTACTTGTTAATTCAGAAAGATAGCAACCCCAGCATCTGCTCTCCTCTTTCCACGGCTACCTATTCTCGCATGCACCCCATCGGCCAAACCGGCACTATGCAAACCACGGGATCGATACCTCGCGTTCACAATCGCCGCTGAAAGCAGGTAGGAGAACCAAGAAAAAAAAAACAAGACAAAAAAAAAACAGAACAGCATCACTCATCATCAAACTCAAATCTCGACGCCAAGACTATGTGAAATGTTTAGCACGACAGGCCAGCTCCTCCAGACCCTGGCACGGCAGATGGCACAAATAAAAGGGGGGCAGTGCAGGTTCAACTGCTCAAGGTAGCCACAGTCACAGTCACGGTGAGCGTGCAAAAACGATCAGAGGGTCCTCCTTCTCCATTTCACTGAGTTCCTGACCACCATTTGTCAGTGTTTGTCAACCGCGCCAATGCAACCCAGGCCGCGCAACACCCCGTGCGCAGCGGCGCCGTCGCCGCCTCTGTCGTAGCCCTCTTGGGTAATCTTTCGCCAGGGACCCGTCAACCTTCCTCATCCATCGCTACGGCGCATCCGTCATGCTCTTTTCCTTGCCCTCATCGGACTTGGCCTCTTTCCCGTGGCATCCTGCGGGACCCCTTGTGACAGGGCCAAGCAAAAAGTTCCAAGCGAGAGAACTCCAAGACCGCCCGAGTCAAGAAAAATGCGCGCACTCTCCATGCCTGAAGCTCATGAGCACATCCGTGTCTAGGCCTGTGTGCGCGACCCAATGGCCGGCTTCCCAATCGGGCTGAGACTTGAATCGCACGAGATGAGATCAGGATGACAGTCCGCAAGCCACCCGGTCATCTTCTCGAGGAGGGAGCTAAACGGACACATTGCCACAGGCCCACGA